GATCTTAATGTTTTAACAACTGTTTTTATGTGTTTAAATGTTCTTGATTTTATATGTACAGCACTTTGTGGCAGCTTTGGTTGTTTTAAAGGGCTTTATAAATAAAGTATTATTATTATTACTAGCTGCTGACAATCCTGGGAGTTCACTAGGCCTTTGCTGGTTGTTTAAGCACATGTAGTCAAAAGGTGCTTAAAAGTTGAAAAATAGCAGAAATGATCCTACAAATCTAAACCATAGTTGAATATCAAAGTGCAAACCTTCAACGTTTGCTTGGATGTTGAGTTGTATTTTAGATATTCAATAGATTTTCAATAGATTGCAGGCCAGGTCTGCACAACCTCTCCTATCCAGCAGCCGTCTTCTTCAGGCCTTGAAAAGTTTCCTCCAGACGATTTAGGAGTCTAAAGAAGGAAATGTCCAAAATATAATCCTAAAGAATGTTTTAAAGCACATTTCTGTTCTGGACCAACAACTAGCAATGATTTTGAGCCTTCTCAGTTTTATTTTGTAATGCTTTAACGGTTAGTTTTATGCGTCTTTTTTCATCTTTACCGCTTACGGCTGAGCTTGATTTAGATCCAGCGGACTCCATTTTTATTTTTTTAATTTTGTATATATATATTTATCTTTACGTTGTTCGTCCTTTTAACGATTCCTCTTCATACAAAGGGAGCCAGTGTGTGTATACGTGTCCATACCTCAGTCCCAGCGGACTTGATTGAGCTGCAGTGAAGGAATTTCACTCAACGGATGACGCTACGTTACGCTCTGTGCGTAATCGCCACTTCCAAACTGTTCCAAACTGAAACAAAGAATCCAGACTTGCCTTTCCAATAATCCGCTCCTTCGATTGTCATTTTCTGTTGACGATAATTTCGCGGCAAACTTATGATGTTGAGGGCCGCACTGGGTTAAACTCGGGAATCTCTTTCCGACGCGTTTCCAAACTGACGTCACTCCAGGTCGCTTCTTTGTGTCATGATCGGTTTATTCCGTTTCAAATGTCCAAGCTTTAAACATTACAGACTGAGACACATACTGACCAGGTCCAAACTATTGATAAATGCTTAGTGGCATAACTCTACGGCATCTCATAACACGGTCAACAGAAAATATGACGACGCCGGGCGCACCCAACTTCCTCATCCATACAAAGCCAGAACACCAGTCAGCACGTCATTTATATCTGGAGACAGTCAACACACACACTGACACACCCACCACCCAAGTGTCAAAGCTGCGTGCTCACCTGTCAAGCCATCAATTACTTATTTTACTAATGTGGCTCTTACATTGAGCATACAGGATTTTTATTAAGTATTTCTACTCTGTATTTCACCAGATAACCTCTAGGGGGCGCCACTT